AAACTTAATAAAAATTGAAACGAATAAAGAGCTCTATTTCCCTGTACATTTATATATTATATAGAATTCATATCTTGAAATTGTTTTTAAAAAAACAGTATTAAGTTTATAAAAGACACTGAAGGGACAAGTTAAGATGTATGGAGCACAACTCCCCAAAATGAGACTCTGATCATTCATTCAATTTTTATTAAGTTTCTCCAATATATTCTTTAAGCAGGCTTATGCCCTAACTATTATGTTTCTCAAGAAGCATGTAGCTTCTCTGTATAACAAAATAATTATGATACAAAAACATTATTAAACATATTATTTTTGAACAAAAGAACACAGTAAGTGAATCACAATAACTGTTTTAAAGTAAAGTAAAGTACCTATAGCTAGTTGCCTTTTTTGTACCTCTATATGTCTAAGTTCTATACAGTTTTACAATCTCACACAATACAAATGCCTGTGTCTGAGAAAAAACAAATTATGTTGGTCCTTAAAACAAACAAACAAGCAGCTCTTATTTTTAGTGAGCATAGGACGAACATAGTTTTCAATATATTATGAAAAGAAAAGAGCCAGGTTTGAAAATATACTGTAATCTGGGTTGATAGCATACCTTTGCGCATTGTACTTTGCCTTAAACAATTAAAAGCCTTCAGGTACACACAACAGAATGTTCCTTTTAGCTCATTTAAGTACATGCATATGTAAATGCCTTATGCCTTGCCCATAATAGTAGATGACTCAGTTCTCTAGCATAATTTCCATCATCAAAGAAGATGGTCCACAGTAAAAAGGGCTTCCTTCTTCTGAAGTCAATGTCACACATTATACCAGCAGCACCAACTTTGCTCCAAGCAAACACTAGTGACACAAGCTTGACTCATAAGTCCTCCGGGTCTTTTCTTCTCTTAGTGTACATTGTATATTCTTTACCCTTTGTTTTGGTGTCCTCTAATTCAAGACTGAGCAGTTTAGTTTTGGATTTGTTTGTTTCTTTGTTTGATTGCCTTTGCCTCTGTCCTCTTTGGTGGGGCACATCCTTCTGCTCTTTCATTGCTTGCATGAGATCCTCTTGCTTCTTACCTATCATTACTTCTCGGTCCCATATCAGAATATTAAAGCCTGTCAAAAAACAGAATCACACTCTTAGGAATTCAGCCTTGGATAGCTTATAAACCACATAAACCATTGAGCCAAGATCTCAGACGTGGTTCAGTTTTTTAAACTGGGTGTTTGGTGCCAAGTCTGCAAAGAGATTTTAGAGTAATAGAATTCTGACAACTGAATAAATAACTGAAAATAATGAATACATTATCTTGCCCAACCCAACAAAGAGTAGTACTTTTTAAGTAACGAAGATTAAAGTTCAATCTCATTTTTTCCTATTTTGTTCACTTTTATTGTCTTATTTTCAAAAATAAACATAATTATGCAACTCGATTCCTTGCAAGAACAGGCCTTATATTTTCTAGGATCAATTATGGGAAAATATTCCCAATTGTGTAAAAAAATCTTTTGACCTAAAGTAGTTAAACTGGATTTTTTTTTATTGTTTCAAGAAAATATGCTTCAATTTCAAATTTCATTTTCTCCTTCCTTCTTAAAACATTATTTCAACAGGTGGCAGCAGTTCTCTCTTTCCTAGATAAGTAACTCTTAATAACTAGGTAGATATATTTAAGTTTTCTTGGCAATAATATAATAATGGTTTAACATGGACATATGTCCAGCTATGTAATTTTCTGATGGATTCTTAGTTTTACAAGATGAGCTGTGGTTGGATGCAACCAGTAGATCAAAAAAATTACTGCAAATAATTAAAATCCTCTTGATTCATGACAATTGATGGAATCTTTGAATGAATTCCACATTTTCTTATTAATTACATTTTCTTACAAATTAAAATTTTGATTTACAAAAATCAAGAGGATCTCCAGCCAAAAGGAGCACTGAACCCTTTTCCTCTTTTATACATTATTTGCTACCATTTTCAAGTAACTGAAACAACTATTGGAGGTTTAAAAAAATTATTACAAAAACCAAATTTCAGGTTTTGGATGATCAATGTCTAAACAAAAATAAGTATTGTTTCGGGTGTTTTGCTCCAATATGGAATGAAGTAGAGCTGGTTTATTCAAAATATCGACCAAATTGCAATTGTTCTGGGCAAAAGTGAATTGGATGAGGCGAAGAATAAGGAAAGGCCAATAAGAAGTATAGATATCAGGTGAGAAAAGACATCTTGTAAGGTCAGGGATAAGAAGGGCAGCACATAAGTGATATCAGAGAGGAAAAAGGGAGCAACCTCAAACCTTCCCTTATAAATTGCCTCATAAAATCCCTTCAGGATCCTTCCAGTCTTTATTTAACCCGAAACTGAGATATCCAAAACATTCTAGTTTTTGTTCCTGCCAATCTATAGTCAACCCAAAGAAGGCCAATGTAGTATTTTGTTGCAGGTTCAACACATTTCCTATTTTGAGTACACCCTTTTACAATATGAAAGTATTAACCCTTTATTATTTTCAACTATCGCTTGCGAAGAGGTAAAAT